TTTTCTTTTATTAACAATTTTCTTTACTTAATATGTTTTGTTTTTTTAAACTAGAGGCTAATAAGCCATTCATTTAAGAGAGCATTATAAATGGAAAAGAACAAATTTAATAGGGTACATCCAAGATTGGTTTTCGCTTATAACAAAAGTTCACTTACCCAATGAGATTGGTAATTATTTTTAATAAGAGGGTAACATTCAAGGAATTTTAAAAATATTTATTTTTATTGGTTATGGCCAACAAGGTTTGAAAAAAATATGTTCATATTCCATTTTATGTAATAACCAAAATAAGTTATAATTAGCAACAGTCATGATTAGCAATCTAACAAAATATTCTAGATCAAATATTCAAATGGTTATAATTTTACCAGGTAAGAGATTTTTTGTTAGATTAAGAACTATAATTTTTTCTTGGTTATTGATTCCACAACACTTTATTTTTCACTAAAACAAAATCGAAAGTGCACAAAGCCGACCCCACATTCCACAAAACCTGCAACACTACTCAATTATACCCACGACATGCAAACAAAAATAAACATCACTTAGCACAAAGTTTTTCTTCTTCTATATATGTAAAGACTCTCTCACGACTCACAGACCAAATAGCCCATTTATTTCAGCTAAAGTCCAAAAAAACACAAAGCAAAAAACATCTAAATCTCTTTCTGCTTCAATATTATGGCTCCTCTACCAGTTTCTTCGATCAGAGTTGGCAAAATAGAGGATGTTCAAGAACTGATAAAATCCAAACCAAACAAAGTTCCAGAGAGATTCATTAGAGAAGCCAATGAGAGAGGAGTCATTTTGACACTTAAGACTCAACATCATCATCATATTCCTGTTATTGATCTCTCTAAGCTCTCTAAACCTCACAATCATGATGATTTTCTCTTTGAGATTCTTAAGCTCTCAAAAGCTTGTGAAGACTGGGGATTTTTCCAGGTAAATTTAAGATATTTTTTTTCGCTCAAACTCATATCCAATAATCTATAATTCCGACAGTGACTATTTTCTTTAGATAATTGATCAGTATACTAGATAAAACCTTAGACCTTTGACATGTTAGGCCATATACTTATATTGTATTTTTCACGAATTTATTTTGACTTGTGTTTAGAATTATATATAAATCTCATTATGGCTTCTTCTTCTACTACAACATAGGTTATAAATCATGGAATCGAAGTGGAAGTGGTTGAAGATATAGAGAAAGTTGCAAAAGAGTTCTTCGAGCTGCCATTGGAGGAGAAGAAGAAGTATCCAATGGAGCCAGGGACCGTACAAGGTTACGGTCAAGCTTTCATTTTCTCCGAAGATCAAAAGCTTGATTGGTGCAACATGTTTGCTCTTGGTGTTCATCCTCCTCCTATTCGTAACCCCAAACTATGGCCTTCTAAACCGGCCCGGTTCAGGTTCTTCAAAAAAATCCTCTATTTCCTTGATATGATATACTTGGCATAAAAAAACATACATGTACTTTACATTTTGATTAGTCTCTCGCTCTCCTAGTATTTTTTTATATAACATTTATTCATGAATATATATTAATCTTCTTAAGAACCTTTTGTTCAACTTTCATCAAGATCCTCATATTCTATAAAAAAAAATTAATTAGAGCATATGGCACGTAAAGTCAAATAGTTTCTACTAAAAAATATGGTCATGTGACTGTATCCGGGTTCGCAATCATTATTCAAATTTTATTAAAATGGTCTAGTAGATCCTGTGACAGTTCCCTTATTATTATTTATTTTCTTAAGTATATGTTTAATTTACTAAATAATTGATTTTTTCTGTGTAGTGAAAATCTTGAAGGTTACTCACAAGAGATAAGGAAACTGTGCAAGAGGTTGTTGAAGTACATAGCAATAAGCTTGGGTCTAAAAGAAGAAAGATTTGAGGAAATGTTTGGGGAGGCAGTTCAAGCAGTGAGGATGAACTATTACCCTCCATGTTCAAGTCCTGATCTTGTCTTGGGACTTAGCCCACATTCTGATGGAAGTGCTGTCACTGTTCTTCAACAGAGCAAGAACAGTTGTGTTGGCCTTCAAATCCTTAAGGACAACACTTGGGTCCCTGTTCTGCCTCTTCCCAATGCCCTTGTCATCAACATTGGTGATACCATTGAGGTACTTTTTTTTTACATAGATTTCAATTAGAGTTCTATACCATTTCACCAAAATTATTAATAATTTATGTGTATACAGGTACTAACCAATGGGAAGTACAAGAGTGTGGAGCATAGGGCAGTGACAAACAGGGAAAAGGAGAGGCTTACAATAGTGACATTCTATGCACCAAACTATGAGGTTAAAATAGAACCAATGGTTGAATTGGTTGATGATGAGACCAACCCATGCAAGTATAGAAGCTACAATCATGGTGACTATAGTCATCACTATGTCTCCAACAAGCTCCAAGGCAAGAAGTCACTTGATTTTGCCAAGATTCTCAATTAACTAATTATTATTAATTTCACCCCATCACCTTCCATTAACTAGTTTACCACTTAATTTGCTTTTCTTTTTCTTAAGAATTTTTATTTGTTGAACTTTTGTGTGTATAATGTATAGGAATGTTCCCCACCTAGGGTTTTTAGTGTCATGATTAAATTCCCCAATGTGAATACAACTTGTAATATTTTATACATATGTGTGGTGGGTGGAATTAATTCGGTGTTTATAATGTATGTCGAGAGGGGAAAAGAAACGAAAATTATAGCATCCGAGTCCGATCAACGTCTATGTTGATTATATTTGTGCATTCCAAAATAATATTCCTAAGTGGATCTCAAAGCAATTTATTATTCTCTAAGAGAAATATAGTTACGATTCAAATTGTAATCGAGAGTCTTGATATCTTGTTTTCTCATTCACGGGATTTGAAGTAGAATGCATGCTCAAAGATCTATTGGACAATTTGAAGCCCCACAATTTGCAAGAGAATATTAGAAGAAAGAAGACAAAAGGCTCCATTATTATTTTATTTGTTTTGCCAAACGACAAAAGTGTCCATTATATGACAAAGAACGAAATGGAAACTCTTATTTTAATTAGTTAATATGGCGGTATGGCCCATTAATAGTTACGTAAGAAATGAATTGTCGGTTCTTACTTAGCATCGTATAACTAATAGAAATAAGTTTTACTCCAATATATTATTCTATTTTTTTATTTCAAAAATAATATTTAAATATATTTTTCTTTTGATATCTATTATTAATTATTTATAATATACTTTATTTATAAAATTTACAAATTGATCCTATTTTTTTATATAAATTAGAATTGCAAAAGTATGTTTTATTATATCAATTTACACATATATACATATTAAAATATGCATTTTTAAAAATTAAATTCATAATAACATATATTATTTAAATATACATACACATTTTTAACAAAAAAAAATACTTACGCGTACATTACAACTTAAGACATTATAATAGAATATAATTATTTTGTTGTGAATTCTTGTGATTTGATAAATTTGTAATTCTTCAATAAAAAAAACATCAAACAAATTAAAAATCATCTAAAAAAATGTTTATCTCATAAAATTAAATAATTT